TAATTACCTTCAGGTTGGGGCTAAATGTTTGTGAGTCTTTGTGGTCTTGCAGTTTCATGCTAAGACTTGCAACTTGCTTCCTCAACTTGTTTTCTCACATAATGTGTGGGCCAGATTGAGATATTCTGACAAATGATTAGTAACATTGATAAAAAGCTGTTCAGAGAAACAGCCACAAGAACCACAAATCTTTTCTGTGATGTATAGGAACAGAGATGTTTTTTTGTGGTCTGATGATGGCACTGTGTGTGTGGAGATATAAAGTCTGATAGACTAAAGAGATGTTTTTTCTGCAGAGGTGGGGATATGTGGTCTCTTTGTACATCTCTTGCAGGCACGCAACAGATATCTTATTTAATAGATTACAATTTGTTTTATTGAATACACAAATGTCTAATTCAAATTTTAAGGTTCATTAGACTCAGACTGTTATAGTTGCGGCATTGAGCTGTGTGTTATCCTGCAGAAACCTACATTTGTACCTCCTCAGCAGTGAGGAGAGGACATGCCCATTAGAGACAAGTTATCTGCAAAGGCAGTGATCAGCCCACAGTCCAGTCTGTAACTAAGAATGTGTTGTAAATAACTGGGTGGAGGTGGTGGAGCGGAGGGTTCTGGAGGCGGTGTGAGGTGTGAGGAGTTCCTTGAGGTAAGCCGGGGCAGTTCCATGTATGCACTGGTGAGTGAGGAGGCAAAGTTTGTAATGTATTCTGTGTTGGATGGGCAGCCAATGAAGGGACCTGAGGACTGGAGTGATGTGTTCGTGTTTGCGCCTCCTCGTCAGGACCCGGGCAGCACAGTTTATTTGGAAGTTTTACAGAAAGATAGTTTGGTCCGGCGTGGTGGTTCGGGGAACTGCGACTTAGACTGGCACTGCACGGGAAGATAGATCAGTTAGATATTTTGCAGATGGGGGCTGAGTATTAAGCGAAGACGCTGATTTCCTACATTTCCTTGGAGAGAGGAGCGGATAGGAAGGAGGTTGGATGAGTCCACAGAGATTGAGTTTGACTGAGATGGGGTTATAGCTTGAGAGCTCTGGGCTGGAGTCTCTGAGGAGGAAAAGGTAAGAAAAAGCCGGGCAGCAGGGGCAGGCTCACAGTAAGGGGGTGGGGGGTTGGGGGGGTCCTTTGTCCCATTCGGCTCACACCTAGGAAAAGGCTGCTGTAGGTGGCTTTCACCTCCAGTCCAGCTCTGTCAGTTCTAAAACTCAGAGATATGTATTGCAAACAGCCTTTTTCACCACAGTTTGGTTATGGAATGTCAATCATCACGACGTAGCCCTGTTCATTCTTGAGATCTGGGCCTTGAGCTGGGGTCTCCATGGTTGTTGCCTCTTCCGATGTGAACCCCTGGGCAGCTTTACGGAAAGAGAGTGAAATCCTCTGTGCTGTGGTTTTTTACTGTTCCCAGCTCCATGGGGGGCCAAGACACACCTATTTGGGAGGGGTCCTGCGGAGTCAGCTGGCTGATGGGGGTTGCAGAGCAGAGAAGAGAGGTTTCACAGCTAATTTATTAGCAAGACTGCATCCTCTTCTCCAATCATTATGTGAAGATGAAACATGGACATTGATTCTCAATGTCCAAAACTAAAACATCCTTCTTGAAACCTTATCTACCTATAACATCTGAAACATAACAGGAACATTGGGTTCAACTGTCATTCCTAACTAAACCCTTTACGCTGAGTTTAAGCTTAATCAGCACTCTTATATAACCTGGGACATCAGCCAGGTTGGAGATGACAATAGAGATTCCAATTCCTGTGCAGACTAATGGTCAGTCCAGACAGTGTCCATTGCATCACAGTGGCTTATGCAATCCTACACCACATAATCTGTATTAGATAACAAATCTGCCCCAATAATGATGTGGTTCCAGATGATGGCATGGACTATAGAAGGTAGAGATGCTTTAAATTCTCTGAGATAGGGCCAAGGATGAGGGAGGTCTTGTTGGTCTCCATCTCCTGATACGCTCTCGCCTGTGTCCGACCTTTCAGACATTTCAGCATCTTTTTCTGAATCCCACATTGTAGCATGGCATAGACAATTCACGTTAGCAGTTTGAAGAACACCTGCTTGCTTCTGATGATTTCCTTTAGCTAACCAATGAGTGTTTGCATTCTATGACTCATCCAATTACACTAGTTTTCACTAGATGTGGATGGAGCCAATGATCTGCATTGGATGGAGCACATGACGGGAAATAAATATAAACATTAAACCATAGCCAAAAGTAGCGAGTAACATTTGTTTTAAAAATGTAAGGAATAAAAAGTACAGATACTTGTGTAAATGTAATTAGTAGAAGTCAGAAGTTGGAAGAAAAATAAGTAAAGTATAGATACCTAAAAAGCGTACTTAAGTACAGTAACAAAGTTTTTGTACTTTGTCACTAGACACCTCTGGATATCGAAATATACTGTCATTACATTCTTCAATCTTTGATATGTACTTAATTAAGATCATTACTTCTTATACCGACAGATGATCTCTTAATTAGATAAGCTGCTTAGGAAAACATTAGCATTAACACGTAACACGTAACCTCTCCAGGTCCACCAAACACATATGGGTGAGTTGGCCAAACTCCCACGCAGCCTCGAGCAAACTGCAGAGGGTTTAATAACAATCAGATAGACTCACCTCTGCAGCATCCAGCATAGTCATAGTTGACACTCTGAAGACCAGCAGGTTATTTTGGACAAGAGAAGATCAGTGTATTCTGTTGGGAGCTGGAGTAGTACCATCTTTCTCCAGCAGAGTCCGCCGTGGATCCTCCTGAGCAGAGCCTCCTGCACAGCTGCTGCTCATTACCATCATCAGAGGATCCACTATATAAGCTGTCTTCAGACCTTGCCTCAATGTCGCAGTGTTGAACCAGTTGGAAACCTGTGTCTCCTCTGTGAAGCTCTGGAAGAGCTAACCTGCCGAGCCGACCCTCAGAGCCAAACCTGAAGAACCATAGAGAACTTCCATGCAGCTCAGGACTAAGAGCTGGAAAACCCAAAGCCAAGGTCTGTTCATTTCTAGACGTGAGACTCTGAAGCAGCAAGCGGACTCTGCTGAGCAACTCCTCTCCAGATCCAACAGTGACTCTCCCAAAGCTAACCTCAAGAACCCTCAAGACTCCAGTGAACCAGTTTCCCAGGCCTGAACCCGAACCTGTCATAATCTCAGTGCTTGTCTAAATAAACTCTGTTAAAACCTTTACTCCTGTTTCCGCCTCAGTGGTGTTCTGCATAATTGGGTCCCCCTAGAGAGCCAATCATGACATATTCTCATTATCAGTTCGTACGAAATCGTACGAAAAGTTATGCACAGTAATTTCTGTTGGGATCTGGAGTTTTTCCACCTTTCCCCAGCAGAGTGCGCCGTGGGTTCTCTGGGCTGGAGCTCACCAGCACACCTGGAGCTCGTCAGCCCATTAGAGGACCCCTCTACTTAAGCAGATGCCAGACCTTTCTTCGACGCCGCAGTGTTAGCTAAGTTTGGTTAGCGAACCTGAGCCTCCTTGTCTTTAAATTTGGTCCCCTAGAGAAAACTGAATTCTTATCAGCCTTTGTCTTGTCGCTCCTAGGAAAACCTGTCTCTCATGTGAAGCTTTGGGAGAGCTTAACCTGAATCTGCCTGCCTGCCCTAGAGAGCCAAACCTGAAGATCTCACTTTGGAATCCACCTGCTGCTCTCGGAAGGAGAGCTAACCCCTCAATCCAAGGTCTGATCCAACAGTCAGAAGTTAGACGCTGCACCTGCTGAGCACTCTGTCAAACCAACAGTCTCTGAACCCAACCGGTTCCCCCCCTCTTAGAAGAAAGCCTGAAACTCTCCAAGGTATAGTCTGCAACAATCTGAAAACTAAACAACGCTTCCAATCCACCTGGTTAACCAAACTGTCATCTCTGCAGACGCCTGAGAATCCAGCCCGGACCTGTTTCCTGAACACAGTCTTATTTTGTGCAAACATTTAATAAACTCTGTTAAACTTTTCATCCGTCTCCTGGTAGTGTTCTGCATGTGGGTTTGATTCAGAACCAATCATGACACTTTCGTATGTTTTAGACGTTTGTTTCGTCGTATTTCGTTATATTTTTACGTCTTGCGATATCCTTGCGCATGCGCATCTTACGCACCATTCAATAACATAGAATTTAACATACAATTAACCCTAACCCTGACCCTACACCTAACCCTAAGATACAAAACAGCAAGCAACGTAGTTCGAGACATCAAGAAGTAATTATTGCACTGTTTTTCCCAGTTTTACGTCTGTCCGCGGATCTGCTTTTTTCGTCTGTCTGCCTGCGCATGCGCACTGATCTGTATTTTTCGGGGAAAAACGTCAAAAACGTACGAAATACTGTGCATAACTTCGTACGATTTCGTACGAACTGATAATGAGAATGTGTTGAGAAGATAGATGGAGAGAAAGCTGAAGAAAGACGTTTTTATTAAAAAGTAGCAATCATCTATAAACAGATGAGGAGGCCTCAGATTTCAGCTTTCAACAACATCAAGTCCAGCATTTAGCCTGATCCTCAGTTTATTTCAGAACAATCACCCCATTCTGCATGTGACCCAACATTTCTCAGTAACCCAGAATAACAACGGCATTAATGACACCCTGTTGTTAGAGGAGGCCAACCTGCACTAGGAGTTAGGTCTGCAGAGCAGAACACCCCTACAGCTTAAAGCTGCCATCTTCTCCATCAATAGCTTCGAACGGAGGAAGATCTTTGGATTAAGAACAAAATCAAAGTCCTGGTGTTTTGTTTTAATGAGAACTGTTTGATGAAGGGTTCCTACATGAGAAGATTGACAACAGAAGTAGGTGTTTCAAACGTGTTCAGAAAATAATAACCTAGAGCTGAACAGGAAGTGATGTGATGGTGCTAACCCACAGCCAGTGCCCGGTTGGTGGAGATACTTGTCTTTGCAACATTGCTCACTTTCTGTTCCTGCAACCCGTAAAGCACAGAGGAAGAGGGTTTTACTCTCAGCCTCAGAACATTTCTATCAGAGCTCTGAGAGACACAATGAAGGAAACATCTGTCAGATTTCTGCTCAGTAAGTAGATTCTTTCTGAAAATTTCCTGGGTTTCTGTAGATAACTGATGATGGATGAGAGGCTGGGAAACAGCCTGGAACTGGGTTAAAACACACTGAGGAGAAGTTCTGCTGGAATCTGAGGAGAACAGATGAAACATGGAAAATATTAATAGAACTTTGTGATGTAGAGCTATTTTCGACCTGTTGGAACAACATTTACAGTAATGGTCTGAATGGAAACTATCTGAGGTGTAAAACTGGTTTTATCTAGAAATGATGAAGTTTTTTGTTAAACCAAATTATTATTATTTTTCTCTTTTTAGCTCTGACCTCAGTGCTGAGCTGCACAACAAACCAAGGTTGGTTCACTTCCTGTTTAACACCTTAATATTCAGAGTTAACACCTATGGTTAAGAAAATGTTCAGGGTTTCTGTACGTATGAATAATCATTTTGTCATTTCAGCAGCTTTTCTGACTGTGAGACCCAGCAGATCTCAGTTCTTTAAAGGTAAAGAAGTGTCTCTGAGCTGTGAGGAGAACAGCAGCTCTGCTGGATGGACTGTATGGAGGAACACAACCAGAGAAACCAGGACTCAGTGTGGAGATGGATGGGGAGAAAAAGCTGGTTCTACCTGTAACATCAGCTGGCTGATACCATCAGACAGTGGAGTTTACTGGTGTGGGTCGTCCAGAGAGGGAGCAGCCAGCAGCAGCATCCCGCTCACTGTCACTGGTAAGATCAGACTGTGGAGTTAGTGTTGATGAAGCTGTGTGGAAATGGATGAAATGCTGTAGTTTGTCTCTGTGTTGAGGTGGATCAGTGATCCTGCAGAGTCCTGTCCTCCCTGTGATGGAGGGAGATGACGTCACTCTGAGCTGTCTAACAAAGACCACTCCCTCCAACCTCCCAGCTGATTTCTATAAAGATGGCTCCCTCATCAGGACTGAGCCCAAAGGTCACATGACCCTCCACAATGTGACCAGCTCTGATGAAGGCCTCTACAGGTGTAACATCAGGGGTCATGGAGAGTCTCCATCCAGCTGGATCTCTGTTGAAGGTCAGATCCATGAAAACAATGTTTCATATTAGTTTTAAAAATATTATTAATAATTATTTGATAAATATCTTTACTTCAGAGAAACCATCAACTCCTGGTCCTCCACCATCCAGCTGGATCTCTGTTGAAGGTCAGAACCATGAAAACAATGTTTAATTCTGGGTTTTTAAAAGAAATGACTGGTAATCTAATAATTATCCTATTTCAGATAAGCCATCAAACACTTTTACAACCCTTCCTGGTCCTTCAACCACATCTTGTCCTGCAACTTCTCTTCCATCTACAACATCTTCTGTATTTCTCTGCTACTTCCTTTACTACATTCTCCCGTTACTTTCAAAGATAATTCTTATGGTTGTGCTGCTGGTTCTACTGAGGAGACGATGTGTTGAGAGGAAATCTGAAGGTTAGACGAAGCTTGTTCTGTTACGTATCAAAGGTTGATATCAACCAATAGTAAGAACTATAAAAATAATTACAATCATTTTTTTTCTTTTAAGAAGAAGTTGGAGGGGGAAATGTTTACGGTAACATCGGTGTTTCCAATTAAGGTAAGATTGTGATTTTTGTTCTCATTTTGTGTTATTTTCCATCTATAATGACTTACATGGATGACAGGAACCAGAACTTTTCAGAACTGCTGTTGGATAGATGTTAAAATATAACTTATAGAACCATAGATAAATCAGTTTTTCCTGCTGTAACCTTTATTGAACTTCATTATGTTTTACAGACATTTTGATAAAGACAGAGAAGGTTTTATATTATAAACCTTTTAGGAAGTCAAAAATTTTTCCAAACCTCACTGATATCAGCAATATGAAGGAATAAACAGGAAATCATCTGTTGGTGTTTAAACAATGAAAGGATTTTAGGGAGGAGACTGTTAGTCAGAGCGCTCAGATTATGTCAGAAAGAGATGTCCTCTATTGAAACATTTTAGGGTCAATAATGCCAATAATGGGTCATTTTAGGCAGATGTAACCTGTCATCAACATCCTGGTTGGTCAAAGTGTGAGGTTGATCCTTCAGCTCTTCTGTAGAATATAGATTTCTACCATTACTGAATAATGAACCGATCCAGATGGACAAATCTAACTTCTATAGGTCTGTAGTTGGTGTGTATCTTGGTGAATAACAGTAAACGTTCTAACCCTCTGTGCTGGATGGGCTGCACTGTTTGTGGTTTTTCTGCTAACTGACTATCAGACACCATCGGGTTTCCTGTTCACATATTTTAGCTGAATATAAACAACATCATCTCTCTCTGACACTGAGATGAAAACAGACTAAAGACAGGAAATAAAACTCACCTTTAATTTGTTGTCGCCTATGAAATTTAAAAATTTCTTCTTTTCTACCTTTACACACTGTAAAAGGTTCAACCATGAATAACAAAAGGGCAAACCAGAGTGTGTGATCCATGAGTAGGTACAGGGTCCAGGCCAGGGGATGTGATGTCCAGTGAGCATAGGGCACAGTTCAAGGCACGCTAACACACCTTGATGTCTTGACAGGCTTAACCCGGGACACATGGAATGTGAAATGAATTTCCGAGGTTCTTGGGAGTCGCAGACATGCGCAGACACTGAGTTTGTTTGAACTGAAACTGAAATCTCGATTAAAATTCAAAATGTGGCTGACAATAAAGATTGTTTGATTGAAGCTCCATCTGATATCAGAGATCTGATTGTTCCTTATGTTCCTAACAGAGCACTTCGCTCTCAATCTGCAGGTTTACTAGTGGTTCCTAGAATTTCTAAAAGGAGAATGGGAGGCAGATCTTTTAGTTCTCAGGCTTCTCTCCTGTGGAACCAACTACCAGTTTTAGTCCGTGAGGCAGACACCCTGTCTACTTTTAAGGCTAGGCTTAAAACTTTCCTTTTTGATAAAGCTTCTAGTTAGAGTGGCTCAGGTTATCCTGAGCTATCTCTATAGTTCTGCTGCTATAGGCTTAGACTGCTGGAGGACATAGGGACCCCTTTTTCATCATTCTGCTTCATTCTATCTCTATTCTCCCACTCTGCAGAATCTGTTAGTTCAATCTCTAACGTTCTGCTCTCTCTGCTTTTTCTCATAGTAGCTTCATCTGGTCTGTTCCTGTTTGGCTGTGACTCCATCCTGGAGAGAAATATCAGCTGTGCTGCTTCCATCACCACCTTTCTTTCTAGATGTTGGAGCTCGGCCTGTTTTCCAGTGTGGTCCTGTTTCTCTGACTGTGACTAACTGGATGTGCTTTCTCCATCCTCTGACATGGAAGCTGGCTCAGAGCTCGTCGGCCTGGCAGTTTGCTTCTCTGGATGGGGCCGCCTTTTACAGTTGCTTTTTCTATGTCTGCTTCTGTCTCCTTGAACCCCAGTGGGCCTCAGCAGATGGCCACTCACACTGAGCCTGGTTCTGCTGGAGGTTTCTTCCTGTTCAAAGGGAGTTTTTCCTCTCCACTGTCGCTACAAGCATGCTTAGTGTGAGGGATTGCTGAAGAGTCAATGAGTCAATGCAATCAACAGGTTTTCCTTACATAGACTGGATGATCTGGTGAACTGTAAAGTGCATTGAGATGACATGTGTTGTGAACTGGCACTATAGAAATAAACTATAGCGCCAGTTCACAAAAAGCTGTATATGACATCATCATTCCAAAAATTTCCAGTACAAGAGTCTGTTTGTGTCCACTGAGCTGGATTTCCATTTACTCCCAGCATCTGATTTACATGTTTTTTAACACACTTCCCATTCACTTCCACACTGTAGGTTACAGGACCCAGGATTTCTCTTATAACTCCATTCAACCACTTCTCCCCTCCCCTGTAATTCTTAACCAATACAGGTTGACCTACTGTGAAAACTCTAACACGTGGAAGAGGTGGTTCTGTTTTGTTTTGCATTCTCTGAGAAAACTGGGGTCTGATCAGTGACAATCTCGTTCGAACCTGTCTTTTTAGAAATAACTCTGCAGGAGTTTTTCCTGTAGTGGTATGGGGCGTGTTTCGGTACCCTAAAAGAAAATTTGCAACACAGTGCTCAAGCGACATACCACCTATGGCTCGATTCTTTGCTAGCGATTTCTTAAGGTTTTGAACTAAGCGCTCTGCTAATCCGTTGCTGGCAGGGTGGTACGCAGGTGACTTAATGTGCTGCACTCCATTTTTCTTTAGAAAGTACTCAAACTCTTGCGAAACAAACTGAGGACCGTTATCTGTAACAACTTCTTTCGGAAACCCGTAAGCAGCAAACAAATTTCTCAATGCTTCAATTGTTTTAAGAGAAGTAGTAGTATGCATAGGAATAATCTCTGGCCATCTAGCATAAGCATCCATAACTACCAGAAACATCTGCTTGTGGTCCTCTGCAAAGTCAAGATGGATTCTCTCCCAGGGGCTGGCAGCCCATTTCCATTTATGCACTGGCGCAGTACAAGGCATACTACGCTGCTTTTGACAAATAGTACACTCACTGACTTCCTGTTCAATGCACTCATCTACTGCTGGCCACCAGAATAAACTTCTGGCAAGGGGTTTCATCTTCACTATTCCCCAGTGGTGTTCATGCAGTTCAGAAATCAACTGGTCCCTTAATTTCTTAGGAACAACCACTCGTAACCCCCACAGCCGACAATCGTCTTCAACAGTAAGCTCAAAACGTCTCTGAAAATATGGCTTCAGCCACTCATCCTGTACATGTTTAGGCCAGCCAGTTAACACCAACTGTTTTACCACCTTTAGTACGGAATCTTTTTCTGTTTCTTTTGCTATCTCCCTTGCCGTGATAGGTAACTCATCAAGGTAAGATACTCTGTAAATAGGGTTTGACGCCACATCCACTCTTGGTTTCATCGGTAGCCTGGATAAAGCATTTGCATTACTGTGTTGCTCAGATCTTTTGTACTGAATCTCATACTTGTATGCAGCTAGAATCAGAGCCCACCTTTGCAATCTAGCAGCAGCTAGAGTAGGTACACCTGTTTTTGGTCCCAAGATTTTTAACAATGGTTTGTGGTCCGTCATCAAAATGAATTTCCTTCCATAAAGGTAGTCATGAAACTTCATAACGCCAAACACTAAACCAAGTGCTTCTTTTTCAATCTGAGAGTAATTTTGTTCGGTCTTAGTTAAAGTTCTTGATGCAAATGCAATCGGTCTTTCGCTTCCATCTTTCATTTGGTGACTGATTACAGCACCAACTCCATAAGGAGACGCATCGCATGCTAAGATAATTGGTAACTCGGCATCAAAATGTACCAAGATTTTGTCAGATTGAAGAGCCTTCTTTGCATTCTCAAAGGCATTTTGACAACTTTCTGACCAAATCCACTCTGCATCTTTGTGCAGCAATGCCGTCATTGGCTGGATCAGAGTCGATAAGTTTGGTATAAATTCCCGTAGTAGTTTAACAGAGCCAAGAATGACCTAAGCTCAGTTACATTACTGGGAACTGGGGCCCTCTGAATGGCAGTTGTCTTTTCTTTCATAGGATGAATGCCGGTGGAATCAATGACATGTCCTAAATATGAAACACTGTCTTGCAGGAACTCACATTTTTCTCGCTTTACCCTGAGATTGTAGCTTTCGAGTCTCTTAAGGACTTCTTTTAAGTTAGTCAGGTGGGTTTCTGCATCTTTACCAGTTATCAAAATATCATCCAGATAGCAGATTACTCCATCCATACCCTGAAGTACTTGATCCATTATTTTCTGGAAAATTGCAGGAGCACTTGCAACACCATAAGGTAACCGATGGTCAGGTAACACCTAGAGCTTTCCTCTAACTGGACTTGCTGGTAAGCCTGGGATAAGTCTAGTTTGGTAAATTTCTGACCTCCTGCTAATTTTGCAAACAGATCTTGTGTTTTTGGGAGTGGATACTGGTCCACGTTTAACCATGGATTTATGGTGACCTTGTAGTCTCCACATAATCTCACACTGTCATCCTTCTTAGGTATACACACTATTGGGGCAGCCCACTCACTGTAATTAATGGGTGAAATAACTCCTTCTGCCTCCAATTTAGTCAGTTCCCTTTCCACAGCTTCTTTTAATGCGTAAGGAACATTTCTGGGTTTATGGAACTTGGGCACCGCTTCTGGAGCAACGTGTAGCTTAGCTTTAATACCCTTCAATTTGCCTAGCTCAGGGTTGAACACCGATGCATACTGAGCACAAACATCTTCCACTGTTTCTGGAGCCACTCTATTAACCTGTGACCAGTCTAGCTTCAACTGGCTAATCCAGTCTCTACCCATCAAAGCAGGACCTCTTCCTTTTACTACAAGTAGTTCCAGTTTTTTTGTGGTTTCTTGACACTTTACTTTGGCCACAAATTTACCCATCAGCTGTAATGACTCTTGGCTGTACGTCTTAAGTACGCAATTTGCTGGACTAAGTTTGACTGATTTAAATCTGCGCTTATACAAATTTTCAGATATTACTGACACGGCAGCACCAGTGTCTAATTCCATCTTCACTCTGGAACCATTTACACTGACATACACATAATAAGGTTTTACAACATCACCATTACCTGTGTTCATTTCAAACAGACCAAAATTAGGACTGTCTAATGTCAGATCTGGAACAGTGTCAAAATTCAGGGCAGCTTCCATCCCGCACTGAACCACCTCCTCACTGGCTGCTCCATCTTCTCTGACTTGCTGTGACAGAAATTGGGTGTCGCCTGGATCCCCCTTAAACTCGTGCCTATTGCCTGGCTCTGCATGCTGAGGCACACCATGCTGTGGACCGAGCCAGCTGCCGACATCCTGCTGCTGGAGAGCACTGGCATCCTGACAGGGTTGCTGCTTGAGAGTGCTGGATCCCCTCTTCTCCATATCCAGATGCATGGTTCCCCTGGTCGTGCTCGAACGGCCTCCTTCTTTGCGTGTGCGACAGGCTCTGGCTATGTGTCCTTTTTTTTTTACACTCATGGCACTCGCTGTCTTTAAACCTGCAGTCATTCGGGTTGTGATTTTTTCCACCGCAACGATAACAGGGTTTCCCAGCAGCTGCATTTTTCTCAGCTTCGTGGTATTTTGCTTTAGCTTTCTTTTCCACTACATGAGCCTTGAAAGCTTTCTGTGAAAATTGCTGTGCGCTGTCCTTAGTTACCTCAAAAGAGAGTGCCATTTCTACAGCCAGCGGCAGAGTCAAGTCTTTAGTGTGCGCGGTACTGAGCAGTCGATCTCTTAATTCACTACTCTTTACGCCACACAGACGAATCTATCACGCAGCGCTTCATCTAAGAAAGTCCCAAATTTACATGTAGCTGCTAGCTTTCGTAAACTAGCAACGTACTCACTGATGGTTTCGTTATCCTTTTGGTTTCTTCCGTGAAACTTGCACCTTTCTGCAATAAAGTTAGTCTTTGGTACGTAGTGCTTCTGCAGCAATTCTACCAACTCTTCGTAGCTTTTCTCTGACGGTTTATCAGGCGCACACAGATCCATCAGCAAGCTATGGGATCTTTTCCCCACCACCGTGAGAAACACCGACTTAGTTTTCTCCTCTTTAGTGTCCAGGTCATTTGCAGCAAAATACTGCTCGAGACGCTCGCGGTAGTTGTCGAAACTTTCCTCACTTTCCTCGAAGTGAAAATCTTCTGGCTTTCCAAACGCCATCCTTTTAGCTCCGGTTCTGCGGTTCCTTTTTCACCCAAAACGCTCAGCTTTCTGTCCCGTGTTGCCTCTATGGAGCCGCGCCGTCTGCGGACTCGGTGCCTTCCAACTTGAAACATCCCATCCTCGTCGCCAAAATTCTGTTGTGTATGAAACACCGGGTCAAAATGAAAGTAAATATTCAAGTAGATAACTGGAAGTTAGCACATAGCAACATTTATTATCAACAGGGAACTTTCTTCTTCTCCTAAAAGCACAGCTCACCACTCTGTAGTGCACTGTCAGAGCGCCCCCCACTGGCGAACTGTTATATCTGCCTTAACTTTAGATTCACAATAACAGACAGCCTCCAACACACACAGGAGCATACTTAAACCAAAAGTGTCTTAACACATCAAACCCGGTGGTTCATTAATTTCGGTGTCTGGAACACCACAGCCCCCATGCGCGCTCACGACGCTATGGAAGCCGGCAGACCAAACCAGCGCATTCAGCTCGGCAAAGAACTCATGCTCTTCCTCAACACTGAAGTCCTCAGACATTTTTCTTTCGTTGTTTCTTTCTTTGCACAGGTAAACAGCACATTTCTTCTTCTACGCTTGCATTATCGGCAGAGCAGACGCTGAATGCGCACTTCCTTCCGGTTTGGTCTGCCGGCTTCCGTAGAATCGTGAGCGCGCATGGGGGCGCTATTAGGAAATCCTATACACTACTGTTTAGGCTCTAAAACGTTCTAAATGACTTCGTTTCGAGTAAATTCTGGATGCTACCCACTCAGGACACTTGGAATACATTGGACGAGCAGTATGGAGGAATATTGACACGTTTTTGTGGACTTTTGTGGACCTTTCTGTCTCGGGCGCCATAGACCTCCATTATTTGAATGTCAGCAGACAGCAAGAAGCCTCCCAGATCTCCAGATGCATTTGAGATATCAAAAAAGTACTCCAGAGTTTTGTTCAGCATGGGGGTGAGTAGAAAATGAAGGCTAATCATGTTTTGGGTGTACTATTCCTTTAAGCAACCAACTTAAAGGAGAAGTTCGGTTTTTTACACTTTAAGCCCATTTTCTGTAGTGTCCAGGATGAAATCGAATGATCGACACCAAAATTTTGACAATTGGTCCTGTCTCTGCTTTTTGGCTCATGCAGAATCACCCCCTGGCTGCTTTAGAATGGCTTCCATAGAGCATGTCCGATAATGTCCTTAAAACAACCTTAAACGTTCTTTTTTTAAAGAATATGCTACTCACCGGTCGTCAGCGCTGTTCAATGACGTTCCAAAAAAAGTTTCGTGAAGAAAAAACGTTCCTGTAGTGTTTTATTTAGCATTTTGTAAATCCCATTGCGTTCTGTAGGAATAGTCAATATTCCGCTGCCACCGGAAACGGAAATGGGGCCTGTTTACACAGTTGTAGTCTTTTCGCTTCACTCTGTGTACTCCGACGTCGAGAATCAAGAATCCACCTTTCGTATTCCATTTTCAGAGTTTTTTAAAGTGTTTAACAGAGACGTTAGCACCTCGACGTCGGAGTACACAGAGTGAAGCGAAAAGACTACAACTGTGTAAACAGGCCCCATTTCCGTTTCCGGTGGCAGCGGAATATTGACTATTCCAACAGAACTCAATGGGATTTACAAAATGCTAAATAAAACACTACAGGAACCTTTTTTTCTTTACGAAACTTTTTTTGGAACGTCATTGAACAGCGCTGACGACACTGTGAGTAGCATATTTAAAAAAAAGAACGTTTAAGGTTGTTTTAAGGACATTATCGGACATGCTCTATGCTAGCCATTCTAAAGCAGCCAGGGGGTGATTCTAAATGAGCCAAAAAGCAGAGACAGGACCAATTGTCAAAATTTTGGTGTCCTTCATTCGATTTCATCCTGGACACTACAGAAAATGGGCTTAAAGTGTAAAAAACCGAACTTCTCCTTTAATCTGCACTTCCTCTTTTACCTGTGGCCCTTCATGTCTGAGAGGAGAGGAACACTGGTTTGCAGCTCAAGCTACGTTATGCGGCCCAACCCCCCCTCTGGAGAAATTTCTGCTCACTGGCTGAACCAGACTACATCCAGCCTATACTTCAGTGAGACTGAATGTAGTGATTGCTTCAAACCAAGCTAAACATAGTTTTCAGATAACTTTCCTGCTGAAGCAGATGAGAGAACCATCCAGGTTGTTTAATCAACTCCCTTTTTTACGCCCACCGAACATCCGATCCGAATTAGTGGTGCCGAGGTTCCACTACGAAGTCGATGAACCTGATGGTGTTGGGAGCTGTGCTGCTGCCTGCCTGAGCCGCCGCTACTGTGCTATCCGCCACAGCTTTAGGGACACTTCCTTTTATTTCAAGCTGCTGTTAGTGATCAAAATAAGCCCTGCAGATCTGCCTCTTTTGTTATTGCATCGGATTAATCCAATCACACCCCCCACCCCACCCCCTTCCTTCCAGCAGATCACCTTCTGTATGCTGTACCGTTAACAGAGCATCTCTGCTCATGTTCTGGTCTGATGTAGATATCTTCAGTCAGTGGAATTAAACAGGTTTTTGCTGTAGCTGTGATTAATGTAGCTGAAATATTTTTGTGGTTTCAGAGGTCTGACCAGGAAGAGATGTTGCTGATGCTTTTCTTCAGTGAGACAATCCATCAGTCCATCAATGATGACCAGCTGGCAGCTCCTGCCTCCAGAGCCTAACATCACTTTACATCTGCAGTTTCCTTCAGAAATGCCTTCTGTTCATCACTTCTTCGCTAAGAATATTTTCTTCCTGATGCAATGATTATCTCAGCTAAAAGTCTTGAATTAATCATTTGTCTTAGAAACATCTCTGTTTTCTTTATCTGATGTGTCTCAAACTTGTTAACCTGCAGACAGTAGACTGTAAGGCCTGTGTTGAATGTTATGCTGAACAGAAGATGGACAGAAACTGCTCTAAAACAACCTAAAATAAGCAATTAATTAATAGTGATTATTTTTAGTAATTGATTACTCTGACAATTAAGTAATTTGATAAATATTGATCTTGTTCTTCAGCTTATTTTTATCCATCAATCCACTTTCAAACACGCTTAATCCCAAGTGGGGGCGAGAGGCGGGGTCCACCCTGGACAGGTCTCCAGTCCATCGCAGGGCAACACAGAGACAAACAACCATTCACGCACACACTCACACCTAAGGAGAACTTAGAGAAACCAATGAACCTAACAGTCATATTTTTGGACTTTTGGACCACGCATGCTCAGGGAGAACATGCAAATTCCATGCAGAAAGACCTCGGGCCAGGAATCGAACCCAGAACCTTCTTGCTGCAAGGCAGCAGTGCTACCCACTGCCTCAATTAGCCTCTTACACCCTAAGGGGGTATAAAAAAATTTCTGCCTGACAAAAACACACAAAAGTAAATAACTTATAGCCTCACAGCTATTAGATTTAAGAAGAAACTTTTGGTACGTCTGTAAAGGTAAGATGTCATAGAATGGTTTTCTGGTGTCAGCACCATTGTAGCTTTGACCCTGCCTGAAATATTAGGGACAAAATACAAAATATTTTGCATGTTTTGAACCTCGCCAAAATTTTCTTTGAAATAAACATTGCAAAACACTACCAAAATATTATTTATAGCACAAAAAAGTAGTACAGACTTTTAAATCTAAATGTTGTGTAAAAATATACCAAATTTGGACTCGAATCAGATAAATCATATTTATTTTAGAATGGTATTAGTGAGAAATTTCTTAGGCGGAGGGGCCATTTTGGCACATTTATCCATAAATGTCACCAAACTGTGCCAAATGTGTTTTTTACATCAATACTGGGGGTTTGTTAAAATTACGAAGTCACGTAGCAGCTGGACCCACCGGTGGGTCCGTAGGGTTCAAGGGGTTAGCAGCCTCAGCTTATTTTATGATTAATAGAACTACATAAAAAATCCATGAGAAAATAATCTAATTAATTTCTTAAATAACAACAAACTTTTTTTTTTTTTTTTTTTTTTTTTTTTTTTTTTTTTTTTTTTTACAGTGTCCTGTCTGCCAATGTGGCAATAAGAATAATTGTCTTGATGCCAAAAAGAGCCCAACAGATTTTACTTTCACAAGTGTAGCAGAATTGCCATACTGCTACACTTATATTGCTCCACTTGTTTCATGCATATAAATTGCTTTATTATAATTATGCAGGGATTTTTACAGTTTATATGAACACTGCAATGTAAGTAGAGCAGAAAAACAGAAGAAGAAAAGGAAAAAAAACAGAAAAGATGAAAGAAAGAAAAGATACAAAGGAGACAATGACAAAACATTTTCAGTCTGCTTCATCGCCTGTAACGAGATAAGAAAAAGAACAGCACAACCAAAAGACACGGTACGAGATATACAATAAAGCAACACCTTGAAACTATCGCTAAAGTAATATTATTAAGTCTGACATGTACTCTGTGTTACCTGAAGATATGAATGTGGGGTTTCTGTTTGGAAGTGAATCTCTAAGTATCTGAAGCCTAGCACCTGTAGTTGTTTGTGAGGGTGCACTTGTGCATGTAAAGTTTATCCATAGAAAAAATGTTCAATAGTGGTTGTGGACAGCTGGAGAGGCGCACCCCCCAGAGCACTGAGTCCAACGCCGGGAGACCCAAAGCCACAGGCGCCCAAAGGGACCCCAAGAGTCAAGGCACCAAGGAGGGGCCAGCCCCGGAAATCATACCCCCACAAAGGGAGGAGGAGAGACAGCCCCGAAGAAGCCCCCCAGCCACCGCCATGCCGGCGCCCCGGGGAGCCGCTGGGACGAGTCTGCGGTCTCCGCCGGCAGCCGGCCACCCTGAAGTAGGGCTGGGCAACGAACACCGCCCCCCCCGCGGCACCGACCGAAACGCCCCGGCCCCACAGATCGCCGAAACACGCCCCGCCCCCCGGAACCAAGCCCCGGCGACCGACCCCAACACCCAAGGCGACCGCACCAAGACCGATGCCAACAGCGCGCAACGCAACACACCGCGCACAGAATTAACCCAAGAGCAGAAAGGCCGCCCGGCGCCCGACCGCAAGAGCAGACCACAGCTGGCACAACCACCCCCCCGCAGCAACCCGTGGGCAGCACAAAGCCAGAGCGGAGCGAACCACGCCGCTCCCCCACCAGATGAAGCCAGAGCAGTACAGCCACGTCCGCCGCCCGCACCAGCCTCCGACCCGCGGCCGAGGCACTTCCACCGCCCCCGACCCGCGCTGGCCGGAGCCACTCCAACCCCCACCCGCCCCGCAGCCACACCCGCCGCAATCATCGGGAACAAAGCAGCTCCACCATGCCTCCAAGTGGGAAAACCCACCCGAAAACCCAATCAGCGCATCCAGCCCCCCAACACCAACCCCACTGGAGCCGCCCAGACCCCCACACACCAGCAGCACGCCGCCAGCAGGATCCCCACCCAACGGGGCCGCCCGCCCCCCGAGAAAACAGACATGCCAATCCCCCCCCAAAAAAAGAACGCCAAGCAGAAAAGCCCCCACAATGCGACAGAGGACACCAGACACTGACCCGCCCACAACCGCTCCCCCCACCGAGGAAAAAAAAAAAAAAGAAAAAAAAAAATATATATATATATACATATATATATATATATATATATATATATATATATATACATACATACACATATATACATATAAATAAATAAATAAATAAACCGGCATCGAATTGAAGGCACCGGGACCGAGAATCCCCGAACAACACCCAGCCCCACCCCGAAGTGAATCCAGTCCCGGGCCCCAGGGATCCGAGGCGCCAGGGGCGCCCGACCCCCAGACAGGAGCCCCAGCAAGGCCCCGGCCGGCCGGGACCAGCGGAGAGGCCGCCAGGAATGAGCCAGCAGCCACCCGGGCATCCACCCACAGACCCCGACGCCAGCCAGCGGAGGGAGAGCAGGACGGGGGGAATGGGCTCTGCACTTAGCGGAGACTTGAGATGTATTTGGGAGAGAGTGCAGTTGAGACTTCAACCTGGGAGAGAGAAAAAAAACCAAAAAAAAAACCATTCACAATCTCAATCATGCCTTCCCTCCCTAGTGTCCCCACTCGCACCACAGAAAAACAAAAATGAATAAATAAATCAATAATGAAAAAAAATATAATAATAATTTTATAAATGCAATAAATAAAAACGCAGACACACATTCACACATAACACTCACATCCAATAGTACCAGGACCAAAGACCCGGCGGCACCGGTGGTTGGTCCCGGGACTATCGGATGACCCAATAAGTGAACCTAAAATCCAGATGGGGGGGAGGGGAGCGGCAACACCGCCACACCAACCCATCTCATTTCTGCTTCAAGCCCGGCCCCCCACCCCGCACACGGACTTAACAACCCTCCCCAAGAGCCCCCCTCGGGACCAGGGTCCACCCATCCCGCGCAGGCCACCCAACCAGAACCGCCCCCCCCCAAAAAAGATAAAAATACAATAAAACCTTCAAGCAGACACTTCATGCCCCTCCTTCCAACCTTCTTTGAGGCGACAGCCCCGCCACCGGCAGGCCACCTAGGCCCTGCAGCCGGCCCCAGCCATAACCACGGACCAGGTGGCTCACTCTTCCTCCATGCTCCAGACTCCGGGCGGCAGCCGGAGAACAGGGTTGTGAGAAGACCCCGATCCTCCCTGCGCCCGCTCAAATGTGGTGTTGTTGCGTTTTGGTCTCAGATGTAATTAAAACTGGGATTACCAAGAGGGGGTGTCCGGCACAGTCCACCCCCTGCCTCCGGGAGATAGACGGTGCCAGCGCACCCCCCGTTCGACAACCCTGAACCCTCAATGTCTAGATGCGAGAGGGGATGGAGGAGGCCGTCCGTGTTGAGGCCCATAAAATAAGCCCCCCCGTAGGCCTTGACCCCCACCCCCCAGAAAATACCCTACATAGGTGTGTGTTGTGAAAATGATGTAGATGGAAGTGTCTAAAATGCAGAATAAAATCGGGGTGGGGGACATCATCAGAAGGTGGGGCCCTCCAGTAACGACCCCCTCCCCAAAAACCTACATGTGTGGCAGTGTGATGGAGCAGTCAGAGGGAGGATTACGGGGATGGGGAGCAAAGGACTGGGGTGCTTACTGCACTCCCAGGGAGCCAGCTCCCTTGCTGACTCCAATAGGCATCCCTGTTCCCTGAGAGCCCCTCCGGAGAGGGGGGCCCCACCAGTCTCACCACCGTAGCCCGGGGGCCAGGGACCAGCAGCAGGACCCACCAGCCAGCCGGGCACAGGGCCAACACCACCACCCTCCCCCCATCCTGTCCATCCACAAAAAAAAATATAAAAAAATGAAGAATTTATGATAATAATAATAAAAATATAAAGAAATAAAATAAATAAATAAATAAATAAGGTGGGGGACAACCCCGGCCGGCCAGCCACATCGCGAGGACCCCTCCACCCAGATGCTCCTCCCCAGAAAAATCAACATGCCTGCCCTCCCAGGAGATAAACAAGCCCGCCGGGACACCGACCATGGGAACCCCACCGACAGCGCACCGCCGGCACGCGGGGGCCCGAGCGGCCCTGACAGAAACAACACCGGAAGGCCAATATGGACAGACCAACGGCACCAAGCAAGCCCCAAGGTGGATTCCCCCCAACCCAAAAACACAGCGAAACCACTCCACTTCCACCAACCACAGCAAACACAGCCGCAAGGCAAAACAAAGGACAGAGCAGCAAAGCCGCCCCAGCCGTGTGCCAGAAGCCGGCACAAGCAGCAAAAAGAAAGCAACAGACGCGACCCTGCCGCTCCCACCGTGCCCGGCGTGAAAGCAGCATGACCCACCCCGCCCACGGGCCGCCGAGAGGAGAACTGCCGTGCCGGCTGCGGCCCGCCCCCCCACCACCAAACACCAAGCAGCCCCCCACTCCCAAACCGCCCCCACGCACGATCCACCGCACTGGGCACCACCGGCACCCGCACCAACAAAGCGAAGCCACACCCCCGAAGCCCGCACCCAACCCACAACAGACACACATGAACCCTGGCCACAGGCGCGACCACCCTACGGAAGGCATGTCTGACGGGTTGAGGAGAGAAAGTATTCCTTCCCACAATGTCCTCCTTCAAGGTCAGCAGCTCCCCGCTCTCACTGAAAACAGTGTTAGTGAAGCACTGCTTTCCCCTCCTGAGGGGCCGGACGGTTTGCCAGAATCGCTTTGAGGCCAACCGATAGTCTTTTCCCATGGCCTCTCCGAACCCCTCCCAGGCCCGAGATTTTGCCTTTGCAACCGCCAGGGCCGCGACACGCTTGGCCTCACGGTACCTGCTTGCTGCTTCAGGAGTCCCACAAGCCAGCCAAGCTCGATAGGACTCCTTCTTAAGCTTGACAGCATCGCTTACAGTCGGTGTCCACCACCGGCTCTTCCAGCATATCCAACTCACCAACAGGTGGTGGTCGGTGGACAGCTCTGCCCCTCTCTTCACCCGAGTGTCCGAGACATGTAGCCGAAGATCAGAAGATATGACTACAAAGTCGATCGTCGACCTTCGGCCTAGGGTGTCCTGGTGCCAGGTGAACCAATGGACATCCTTATGCCTGAACATGGTGTTCATTATGCACAATCCGTGACTTGCACAGAAGTCCAATAATGAGACACAATAATGTGTATCCATGTTGTGCTTTATCGGGTTGTGTTGTATGGTATTTAAGGTTAAATGTCTAGGCAAGGTGCAATATTGTGGTACATTTTGTAAAACTGTTATGTGTATATGAAGATCAGATTGATTAAAGTATTTTGATTTAATTTATATTTTGTGTATGCTGAATATTATATGTTCAACAACAATCCTAACTGTCTTACCGTCCTAAGGTTTTTACCTGACTAATGTTAAGACTGACCACAAAATGGGCAAATAAAAAGAATGGAAAAAGTCTCAGCTGCTCTGTCTGAGTAAATCCGGCTATACTCTTAAAGTCATGTGTCCAGCCCTTTCAAGTGTGGGGTGCAGTTACTGAATCACTTGACAAGCACTACTTCCCCCTCTTGAAATTAAGCACAGTTCACCTGAATTGTTTTGAGGCTGACCATTAGTCTTTCTACATAGTCTCTCCAAATTCTTCCCATGCACAATTTTTGCCTCTGCAAAAGACTGGGCAGTGCCACACTTTGCCTCACAATACCTGCTTGCTGCCTAATGATTCTCACAAGGCAACCAGGCTTGATAGGACTAATTCTTCATCTTGACAGCATCCCTTACTGCCAGTTTTCACCACTGGGTTTGGGAAATGCCACCACAACAGGCACAGAAAATTTGCAGCTACAGCTACAGCTTTATAATATGTAGAGGCTGAGGACAGGGACCTCCAAGAAACATTGTCCTCCATTGGCCTCCTTCTGAATCTTGGAGAAGCTCTCCTGCAGGCGGGAGTTAAACATGTCGCTAATCGAGGGCTCCATTAGCTTCGTCAATACTCACTTGGGTCTGCAGAGTTTTTCAGACTTCATCCTATTCCAGCATATCCAGCTCACCACCATTTGGTGATCGGTGGACAGCTCTGCACCGGTCTTTACCCAAGTTTCCAAAACACATGCATTCATAGTCAGAAGATACAACAACAAAATTGGTCATCAACCTCTGTCCTAGTGTGTCCAAGCGCCAAGTACAATGATGGATAACATTGTGTTCAGCTTAAACTTGGCATCTTCTTCATCACTATTATTTTTTTTGGGGGGGGGTACAGCACTTGTGGCTCATTTTTTTTGGACTGTTCACTGACAGGGAAGCAGGTATAAGAGAGGGGGAGAGACATGCAGCAACACCAGGCTGGATTCAAACCCGGGTCAGCCCCTTCAAAGACTAAGGCCTCCATACCGGGCTCATATGCGCTAACCGCTGCTCCACCAAAGCATAACCTCCATCATTAGCTTTGAGATGAGGAAGATCTTTGGATAAAGAACAAGAACCGAAGTCCTGATGTTTTGTTTTAGACATTTTCTGGAGTGAATGAGAAACGTGGGATAAAGGGGTTTCTAAATGAACAACTGAGCAGGTGTTTGAAACGTGTTCAGAATAAATAACCTAGAGCCAAACAGGAAGTGATGTGATGCTGCTAACCCACAGCCAGGGCCCAATTGGTGGTGGAGATACGTGTCTTTACATCGTCGGCTACTTCATGTTCCTGCAGCCCCTCAACCACAGACGAAGAGGAAGGTTTTACTCTCAGCCTCTGAACATCTCTATCAGAGCTCTGAGAGACACAATGAAGGAAACATCTGTCAGATTTCTGCTCAGTAAGTAGAGATTCTTTCTGAACATTTCCTGGGTTTCTGTAGATAACTGATGATGGAGGAGAGGCTGGGAAACAGCCTCGAACTGGGTTAAAACACTGAGGGGAAGTTCTGCTGGAATCTGAAGAGAACAGATGAAACATGGAACATATTAATATAACTTTTTGATATAGAGCTATTTTCTACCTGCTGGAACAACATTAACAGTAATGGTCTGAATGGAAACTTTCTGAGGTGTAAAACTGTCTTCAAGTGACAAATGATGAAGTTGTTAGTTCAAAGGGGTTTTTCTTTCCTTTTAGTTCTGACCTCAGTGCTGAGCTGCACAACAAACCAAGGTTGGTTCACTTCCTGTTTTACAACTTAATATTCAGAGTTAGCACAAACACTTTTGGTTATTTCTCTGTACAACTTTGGATCTGAGACAATATAAATAAAAACGTTTTTCATTCCAGCAGCTGATCTCACTGTGAGTCCAAAGACATCTCAGTTTTTTACAGGAGACTCTGTGTCTCTGAGCTGTGAGATCAGCAGCTCTGCTGGATGGACTGTATGGAGGATCACAACTAGAGGGATCAGGACTCAGTGTGGAGATAGATGGGGGGAACCAACTGCTTCGACCTGCAACATCTTCTGGTTGTCCACATCAGACAGTGGAGTTTACTGGTGTGGGTCGTCCAGAGAGGGAGCAGCCAGCAGCAGCATCAACCTCACTGTCACTGGTAAGATCAGACTGTGGAGTTAGTGTTGATGAAGCTGTGTGGAAATGGATGAAATGCTGTAGTTTGTCTCTGTGTTGAGGTGGATCAGTGATCCTGCAGAGTCCTGTCCTCCCTGTGATGGAGGGAGATGACGTCACTCTGAGCTGTCTAACAAAGACCACTCCCTCCAACCTCCCAGCTGCTTTCTATAAAGATGGCTCCCTCATCAGGACTGAGCCCAAAGGTCACATGACCCTCCACCATGTGACCAGCTCTGATGAAGGCCTCTACAGGTGTAACATCAGGGGTCATGGAGAGTCTCCATCCAGCTGGATCTCTGTTGAAGGTCAGAACCATGAAAACAATGTTTAATTCTGGGTTTTTAAAAGAAATGACTGGTAATCTAATAATTATCCTATTTCAGATAAGCCATCAAACACTTTTACAACCCTTCCTGGTCCTTCAACCACTTCTTGTCCTGTACCTTCTCTTCCATCTACAACATCTTCTGTATTTCTCTGCTACTTTCTTTACTACGTTCTCCCGTTACTTTCAAAGATGATTCTTATGGTTGTGCTGCTGGTCCTACTGAGGAGACGATGTGTTGAGAGGAAATCTGAAGGTTAGAGGAAGCTTTTTCTGTTACGTATCAAAGGTTGATATCAACCAATAGAAAAGAACTGTAAAAATAATTACAATCATTTTTTTTCTTTTAATAAGAAGTTGGAGGGGGAAATGTTTACGGTAACATCGGTGTTTCCAATTAAGGTAAGATTGTGATTTTTGTTCTCATTTTGTGGTATTTTCCATCTATAATGACTTACATGGATGACAGGAACCAGAACTTTTCAGAACTGCTGTTGGGTAGATGTTAAAATATAACTTATAGAACCATAGATAAATCAGTTTTTCCTGCTGTAACATTTATTGAACTTCATTATGTTTTACAGAGATTTTGATAAAGACAGAGAAGTTTTTATATTATAACCTTTTAGGAAGTCAAAAAATGTTCCAAACCTCACTGATATCAGCAATATGAAGGAATAAACAGGAAATCATCTGTTGGTGTTTAAACAATGAAAGGATTTTAGGGAGGAGACTGTTAGTCAGAGCGATCAGATTATGTCAGAAAGTGGCGTCCTCTATTGAAATATTTTAGAATCAATGGTTTCTGAACTAAATTAATGTTGAGTGTTTGTGTTTTTAGACCAATCAGCTGTTATTAACCAGCCAATAATGGGTCATTTTAGGCAGATGTAACCTGTCATCAACATGCTGGTTGGTCAAAGTGTGAAGTTGATCCTTCAGCTCTTCAGTAGAATATAGATTTCTACCATTACTGAATAATGAACTGATCCAGATGGACAAATCTAACTTCTATAGGTCTGTAGTTGGTGTGTATCTTGGTGAATGACAGTAAATGTTCCATCTTCTGTGCTGGATGGGCTGCACTGTTTGTGGTTTTTCTGCTAACAGACACTCTGAGGTTTCCTGTTCACATTTTTTAGCTGAAAATAAACCACATCTTCTCTCTCTGACAGTGAGATAAATACAGACTAAAGACAGGAAACAAAACTCACCTTTAATTTATTGGCGCCTATGAAAGTTTAAGATTTCTTCTTTTCTAAACATGGAATAAACCTCATTTTGGGAAATTCTTGCCTATTTTACATACCCAAATGGAAAAGCAAATAAATTAGGAGCTGTAAGCCCAAATTACATGTGCAATACATGATTTAAAAGCTAACACAATATATAAATGAAAATGGGGTGAGTAGAACACAGAACAAGTTGCATCAGTTCAAACATAACTCAAAGTAGTTTTATTATTCTTGAAAATTATAGGTCTTTATTAAACAGTAGTAATAAAGACATGCTTGATAAAATGCAGGTCTCATTGCATTACATATGTTCTACTTAATGTCAACCACAAATGCAGAAAATTTCAGACCTCTAGCTACAACAGTCCCAGAGCTGTGGGGTTTGGAACTTTTGGTGTCATCAGCATCTCCAAAAATCTCCAAATGTTCTAAATTGTGCCAAACTACGCTTTGCTTTACTATTTGACCCATAGAATAACAATGAAGCATTTCGATGGCCACAAAACATTTATGAAGCAAGTTTTTTCCATTTTTTTCCGCTTGCGGTGTTAAAATAACACTTTGAGTGTTAAAGTAACACTCTGAGAGTACATTTGGTCCCACACTAATTCAGAGTGGGACCAAATGTACTCTTCAGTGTTAGTTTAACACTGCAACATTTACTGTAAAAGATAGTTAAACTGCTTCTTTTCAAGCTAAAATAAGCACCAGTGCCTTTTCTGAGCTGTATTTTATTTTATTTTTTCAGCCTTAAGCATTGTAATAAAGCAAAACATCAGCATCAAAACGGTCCAAATATATCGGACCGTTGCTATAATTCAGCTTGGAGCTGCACGCATTGCAAGACGTAACACCGTACCCCTTTAAATAACCTTGGCATATGTAGGCTTGTGTGAAACCTTATTGCATTCGCTGCAAAGCCCAACAGCCCACGTGGTCTTAAGCAATAACAGCAGGACTCTATGAGGAGTAGTATCACGCATCACTGGCTGACAGGAAGTGACTGGAAGTGAAATTTCAGCGACTGTATGTGGCTCAAGTTGCGTCATAAAATGATGACACTTTTGTCTTGTAGGTAAGAGGACAATGTAAACCATACTAAACATTGCTGGCTAACAACTGGGGAAATAAGTATTATGAACTAAATATCAGCACCACCTAACTTTTCTGATGTCAACAACCGGACATTATGGGCGTTCTTCTGACAATGGAATATTTTTATTACGAATATGCTGGATTTCTTTTAAACTGTTGAGCCTTATGGACGAATGGAGTATAAACTATTGAATATTGGATTTATAAAACAGCTTCTTGATGCCTTCAAAGGTATGTAGTTGCGGCTGCTTTGTTTACATTTTGACATGCTGCTATATCTGTGTTAATTGTGCTTTTCTCGCTGAATTGTGGAGAATCTTAGCTTTCCAACATTGTCTAAAATCTCAACATTGGTAAACATTTTACCGGTGGAACTTTCATGCATTCTGAGTCATTCTCAAAACTCAAACCTCTTAAAACACACTGGATCTGGAGAGGATAAATGGGAGGTTTTGAGATACATTTTAAACACTGTAAAAGGTTTGTCCATTTTTATAATCACAAGGTGCCAGTTTTCTGCTGACTACTTTTAGGGGCAATTGGCAGGTGAAGAGCTTGACATCGTGACCCTCCTGATAAGGATGTCATGGATGAACAATGAAATGCATTTAGATGTGGTGACAGTTAGAGGCCAAGGTTTGTGCCTCAATTCAAGTCATTGTCCTTCTGGCTCTCCCCCATAACCGTTAGGAACTCATTGTTATCATGTAAGCAGAAGGTACTCTGGTCTCCCTCTATTGGATGGAAAACACTGGTGTCTGAAATCCATAAACCACATAGACAGAAGAGATGCCAGTGGTACTATATGGCTGGGAGTTGATAGAATGTTCAACCAATGGCAGATACTCTGACCACTTAGCAGCCTCAGAATTACAGCTCATGAAAGTTTTGTTTCCTGGTTGACCCTCTCAGTCTGGCTGTCGATCTTATAGTGAAATCCGCAAGACAGGCTGACAGAGATCCCCAACAACGAACAGAGCTCCCTCATGTACAAACTGGGGACCTCTGTCAGAAACAATGCTAATAGGAAATCCATGTAGGAAAAACGCTTCTCCTGACAAAATACTCCCCATCTCCTTAGCGGTAGGTAGTTTAGGTAGAGGAACGAGATGAACCATCTTGGACAATTTGTCCACCATAGTGAGAATGACAGTGTTAGCTTGTGAAATGGACAGTCTGGTGATGAAGTCCATGGAGATATGGGACCAAGGCCGAGAGGGAACAGGCAAAGGACAGAGAAAACCAGAGGGTCTGCATGAGGGCCTGGCTTGGTTACAGAGGACAAATGCTGCCACATACTCTTTGACATCTGCGTTCACGGTAGGCCATCAGAACTGAGATTGAATAGCCTTTGTGACACCAGGGTTACAGAACAGACAAGAAGTATGACAAAAATCTAAAACCTTCTTGACCAGCAGATCAGAGACAAATAGACGGTCTTTGGGGCAGCCCTCAGGAATTTTCAGATTCTGGTTGGCCTCTCTCACCTCCCTCTCCAGATGAACCATGGTGCTGGAAAGATGGACTGACTCTGGAAGAGTGAAATTGCTACCACTAGTCTCATCCTCAATGGTCTAAAACATTCTGGTATGTGCATCTGATTTGACATTCTTGTTCCTGTGTCGGTAGGATAAGTGTAAATTAAATCTGCTGAAGAAAAAAGTTCACTGGCTTTTCTCAGGTTAAGACTTTTAGAAGATCTCAGGTATTTCAGGTTCTTGTGATCAGTCCATACAAGGAAAGGCTCCTTAGCCCCCTCCAGTCAATGCCTCCATTCCTCATGAGTGAGTTTCCCAGCCAACAATTTGCAGTCTCCAACATCATAGTTGCGTTCAGCAACAGACAGACTTCTAGAAAAAAAGACGCAGGGATGAACAAGACCAATCTTCGGATCTTTGACTGAGAATTGCCCCAGCTCTTGTATTGGAGGCATCAACTTCAACAATTAATAGTTTTTTCAGGTTCTGATGACTGGAGAACTGAAGCAGAAACAAATAGGTTTTGGAGGAATTGAGGGCCTTTAAATGAGCAGCAATCTGACTATAGTTTCTAATGAAATGAAGGTAGAAATTTGCAGACCCTAGGAAACTCTGTAGCTGCTTTTAACCTGTAGGTATGGGCCACTCAGTAACAGCCTTAATCTTCACAGGTTCCATCTCAATCTGATTTGGAGAAATTATGATTCCAAGGAATGATGTTGTGGATGTATAAAATTTACATTTTTCTGCCTTAACAAATAATTGAATTTGTAGGAGCCTGATGAGTAGTGACCGGACATGTTGCTGGTGTGTCTTGAGATCATTAGAACAAATGGTTTTAGGCCATCTACACCCCCTGGTGAAGACTTAATTGGATCCACTGCAGTTTGCCTACCATCCTGGGATTGGGGCAGATGATGTCATCATCTTCCTACTCCACCAAGCTCTCATCTAGAGAAACCTGGAAGCACTGTGATGATCACGTTCTTTAATTTCTCTAGTGCTTTCAACACCATCCAGACAGGACTCCTAAAAGACCAGATGGAGCTGTGAGCACATGTCCAAACGGATTCTAGAATACCTCTCTGGCCGCTAACAGTTTGTGAGGGCACAAGGCTGTGTCTTAAATAGGTTGGAATGCAGTATGGGGGTTTCACAGAGTACAATGATTCTTCTTAACCCTCTATACTGCAGACTTCTCTATCAACTCACTACACTGCCACCGCCAGAAGTTCAATAATGATTCGGCCATAGTTGGGATCATCACAGGATCACAGGTTGGGAAGACTCATAGTACAGGCAGTGGACCCAGAACTTTGTGGTGGGGTACCAACAGAACCATGATCTGATTAATGCAAGGAAAACCAAGGAGTTAGTTGGTGGACTTTCGCAGAAGCGGATTATAAACAATTCTCAGAGCATGGTTGGACCCAAACCCAAAACTTCAATTTTCTGCCAGTCAGTGAGCGGATGAGGTTTGTTCAGGAACTGACCATCCAGGGCCAGGGCATTATGGGCAGAAGGCCCAGTAAGGAGACAAATGCCCAACCTTTTTTTTGCAAAATCCTCATTCATTAATTTAGTTTCTGCTCC